GATCACATCAAACCGATATCCGCAAATTTCCATTGAACGAAATTTAACTCAGGAAGGTGAAACCAGCTTATCTTTGGTCATTAAACGAAATCGGACACAATTAATAAAGTTCGCTATTCGAACGAAAACAGACTTTCGTCACGGTTGGGGCCTGTTCGATTTTGTTTGAAGATCAAGCTTTGAGCTAAACTCAACGAGCACAACTCACTGTCGGCGCCATTTAAGTTCAGCGCTTTATGTAGGAGAATACAAATCCGTGTCTTGTGAGCAGAGATAGCTTCTTTATCGTAACAGTGCTTCATCCTGAAAAAAGCTATTTTTTGTTGCAGATAAGGCTGCAAGAAGCGCAATACTGCAATTGCATGCTTTCAATGCGAATGGCCGCCATATTGAATATTTGCTGTTTTCCGAACAACACCAATTACACGCATACTTACTTTAACTACAAAATTATGTACAAAAATCTCTTCTTTTAATAATTTCACATTTTACGAAACACAAAAACAAGTTTAAGTGAGCCTCAAAAATCGCTGCTATATTACTATTACAAATGGTTCTTACCTCCAAACTTGTGAGACCGCCATCGCCGACAAGCACCCTAGCGAATATTAATTGCCGTAAAAGGAATTTCGCCAAGCTACATGTTCCAGTTCCCAGATCTTTCCGGCTTCTTTTAGGTGGTGGGGGCCTGTAGAAGATGAATATTTCATGAGAGCTTTTTTTTTTCTTCCAAGTTTATAAACTCGCTTCTAGGAGATTTAATCACAGTCTCCGACACAAGTAAAGGATGGTTAGCCAGTACCCGTTACATGCTCAAGCAAACAACAGTAACTGAGTAGTTTCAATCTGAGTTTTACTTTTCTTCGCCCCATGCAATTAATGGAAGGTAATCCAAGACCGTCTTGGATTCTGGATTTCACGCAGTAAATTCAGGTAAGGATTCCTTGTAATTGGGACCTGGATTCCGAATTACAATTGTTCGGCGGGATTCCACATTTCTTGAGCTGTCCAGATTCAATACATGGGGCGATATTCTTTTTCTTCTCCTGTTCCTCTGGAAAACTGTTGTTTCATAAATGAAGATTACCTCGTCGTTGGAATCGCAAACGAACGGGTGTGCGCAGAGAACGAGTACCTTTCCTAAACAAATCTGGTTTGTGGGCGAGAACATGATGGCAATATTTAACGGCGCACATGGATCACTAAATTTCAGGTTATCACAAAAAGGTAAAAAAATGATGATCTAAACAAAATGTCTGGTACGGGTAAATTACCACTGTAAAGCAGTCTAGGCCGCCTAGAGATTTTTTCTTTCTTTCTTTCTTTCTTTCTTTCTCTCTCTCTCTCTTTCTCTCTTTCTCTCTCTCTTTCTCTCTCTCTCTCTTTCTCTCTTTCTTTCTTTCTTTCTTTCTCTCTTTCTTTCTCCCTTTCTCTATTCCTTCCTCCCAGCCCCCTTTTTAATATGTATATATTGAAACTTTTTTTTTTCTTATCTTTTTTTTGTTTTATACATCGGTTGATCGGGCATTACCGCTGATTACATCCATAAAATAGTTCAGGTAAGTGCTATGAAATAAATAACGCTATGTCAAATAGCCGAAAAGTGAACAAAACGTTTTATCAGACAAAGTAAAACGTATCTTGTAGGTGACTTTCATAAGATTCCGTAGCTGGTGTGGCACTTTCTCCGAGGTCTTGAAAGGGATGTCAATTGATATAAACTGATCACCGCACAAAATTTATCCCAAAATTGCACTTATATAGAAGAAATTCAAATCAAAATCAGGAGTATTATGTTACGTAACAATTGTGTAGCTATGATCTCAACTGCTTCCAACATAAACTGCATGCATACCTTTCAGTGTAGAATTTCTCAATCACTATAGCAGATGGTACCGCGAGTTATTATGATGTAAGTTCTGCTCAAAAAACCATGAATTTCAACCTTTTGCAGAACTCTATTGAGGACCATTTATAGGTCTTAGAAGTTACATATCAAGGCCATGAAGACTTAATAGAAGTAAAAAATCATCACAACTATCCTAGCCTTTTTATCATCTTACCTTTCCAACACTTGCATAAAGAAATAAACTTAACCTCGTAGATCGGAACTGCAAACCCTCCATAAATCTCCGAACTGGATCAACTCTCGTGCAAGCAGTGCTTTGGTGAAATATTATTATTTTGTGCCATTTTGATGAGTCACGGAGCACGCGCGTATAGTGTATTGATTACCATAGTAACGCAGATTATGTAATATTACACCTCAACCGGATTTTTCTGTCAGATAGTAACCACTCCGCCAGTAACCCTGACTGGCATCTGCGCATCAAATTCGTAGACGACATATCAGCTCTAGAGATTATCCCTAGGAACTCTATCGGTCTCGAACTGTGCTCCCTCTGACATTCACAATTTCGCCATAGCTCATAATATGAAATTAAATCCAACTAAGTGCAAAGAAATGTTTGTAAACTTTCTTGACAACTCAAAGCTAGCTATGATCTCAACTGGTTCCAACATAAACTGCATGCATACTTTTCAGTGTAGAATTTCTAAATCACTATAGCAGATGGTACCGCGAGTTATTATGATGTAAGTTCTGCTTAAAAAACGATGAATTTCAACCTTTTGCAGAACTCTATTGAAGACCATTTATAGGACTTATAGAAGTTACATGTCAAGGTCATCAAGACTTAATAGAAGTCAAAAATCATCACAACTATCCTAGCCTTTTTATCTTAATAGAAGTCAAAAATCATCACAACTATCCTAGCCTTTTCATCATCTTACCTTTCCAACACTTGCATAAAGAAATAAACTTAACTTCGTAGATCGGAACTATAAACACTCCATAAATCTTCGAACTGGATCAACTCTCGTGCAAGCAGTGCTTTGGTGTACTATAATTTTGTACCATTTTGATGAGTCACGGAGCACGCGCGTATAGTGTATTGATTACCATAGTAACGCAGATTATGTAATATTACACCACTCCGCCAGTAACCCTGACTGGCATCTGCGTATCAAATTCGTAGACGACTTATCAGCTCTAGAGATTATCCCTAGGAACTCTATCAGTCTCTTGAACTGTGCTGCCTCTGACATTCACAGTTTCGCCATATGCAAAGAGGTGTTTGTAAACTTTCTTCACAACTCAAACGTATTACCCAACCCTATTATAATAGGGAATAATGTTATTGAGCAAGTTAAATGTTATAAGATCTTAGGTGTCATTTTGAGCAACTACCTCAAATGGAATAATGTCATGTGAACTACATTGTTAATAAAGCCGTAAGAAATTAAATTCCCTAAGGGTACTGTATAGAGCGGGTGTTAGCAGAGCTAGCATTCTGAAAGAATATATTACTACGATAAGACCAGTTTTAGAATACGCTGTGCCCGTGTGGCAATCTGTCCCAGACTACTTGGCTGATGTAATAGAGTCAGTGCAAAAGAGGGCACTTAGATAGTTTTCCCCGCAGAGGAGTCCTATACGGAGGCCTTGGGTCAAGTTAACTTGACTTGCCAACACTGTGAGAGAGAAGAGAAGACTTATGCTACAAATGTATGGGAAAGATGAAATCCAGAGACCATCCTCTATTTAAATTGTTACCTAGACCAGTTGCAGGTACTTGTAATTACAAGCTCAGAAAAAACTCCGAGAAATTCCTTCTATTTAATGGCTCAGTTACTTGAAGGACCAAAAGAGCAGATTCATTTTTTACGTTTTAGATATTTTAGGTATACTCTTACAAGTAATATTATTATTAATAATCACATTTGTAAATATCTAGGTAAATTTGTAGTATTTTTTTAGTATATTTTGTAAAGCTTTGTAGTTAGGCTTGTAAATTTTTAAGCTCACCAATTCAGTAGTAATTTTATTGCGAAGAGTTTTAATAAACTTACTTTATAACTTACTTTATATTAACGCAGGTTTCCATTAGACATGTTTCCCCATCTTTGCCGCTTCTGATTAAAATTCGTTTTGTGCCGACCATAAACTAGAACATCATTTATTTATATTCTCAGTGCAATCGGTTGAAACTGACCCGTGTATCGGAAAAGGTTTCAGTGGGTTTACTACTTCCATTTGTATGCTGTTAGCTGTCTGTTGATGAAAACCTTTTTCGCTTTCATGCGACGCAGTATTTCTGTCTAGTCTGTGTCAGCATGGCAGCTCAGTAAGGCCACCCTTCGGCGTCTAGTTTGTTGAGCGTCACCTCATAGCCAGATCCTGCGTTACCCTTATGGTGCGGTGACCAAGAGGATTGCAAAAGGATTAATATGGTTAGGCGTATGAACAAGAAAATTATACGCTTTCTACTGTCAGAACAACAAATGAAATAATTTTTCGTCTTGTTGATGAGGTAACATAGTTCATGTAAATATAACTTCTTCCTTCTTTGTTTTGTTTTTCTTTTTTTCTAGTTGTATTTCCTCTGACTTTACCCGCTACCTAGAACCTAAATTGTTCAGGGAACTAAAAAGAAAACCAACTGGTTCATTTAGCTTCCTAGCCTGCACATTATTTTCGTTACATTTAATATATCTTGTACTGTAACTAAATTTCCTAAAGTGTAATATTAACCATGTACATTGACAAAGCATAATAAAGATTATTATTATTATTATTATTATTATTATTATTATTATTATTACGTAAAGGTTGATTTCTGTATCAGCGGTCCTGATTGTTTCAAAGTGACTCCGATCGATCTCCAGTTCCGCATTCCATCGTTTCAGATCATTCGATTCCTTCAAGTTACATGTTGTCTTAACTTAATTAATTGTCTAATTTTAATGTTTTAATGTCTTTGTTTTTGTGTTTTGTCAGGGCTCCATTTAAACTAGCTCTGCTAAATTGGATGCCCCTGGATAAATATTGAATTAAGCTTGTGTAGCTTGTGTTCTGTGAACGCACCCACATTTTGCCAACTATCTTTTGGGCTAACATGATTTGAATTTAAGTGGTTTTCCCAGTTTGACCACTCTGATTAACAACCGTTGAAAGCGGATGCAAAGTTTGCTTCCTGCTCGGCTCCTACGGCAACACATTCTTCCTTTACCGACAATAAGAAATAAAATAGTGTTTCTAGCTGGGTTACTTTAGGATGACAGCGATGATTCACAATGAAATACAAAAAACATGAAACCTCCTTCGGTACTCAAAGTGAAAGTAAAACATGTTACAACGTGGATGCAGTGCTCCGGCGAAATACAGTACGAAAGCTTGTTTTAAATCAAAAGCTCCGTGTTTGTAATTTCTCGATCTAGCCATCAACATTTGATAATTCACACGCACAGTACATTATATACAGTCAATCAGATAACTACCTGTAAAAAATTGTGTCGCCTAGGAGTTTCCAGAAGCTCTGACTGAAAGAGAATAAATATATAAGAAAGGTACAACTTGTCTGGAATAGTTGTGCCTAAAAGTGCTTATAACGCTAATAGTCGTACGCTATGCATAGATGTTGATTAAACTATATTATTATCTGAAAAGCTGTATTATGAAAGTATGATGGCTTAACATACTTAATACGGTATGATAACATGGAAGAAAACTACTGAAAATGATCTTCAATCTTCTTACCTTCTCGTCCTAACAAATCGGTCATGCAAGGAACATCCTACACGGAAAGAGAACGTTTCATTTCCGCTTTTCTCAGCAACAATGCTAAAGTTCGAGGTCTGAAATTTATTATCATCAATATCATTATTATTATTTTCAATAAAATAATAAATAATCAATAACTTTATTAAAATCTTGTAAAACCTATACACAAAAGAAAAAAAACTACAGTATGGTAATTATAGTTCCTCGCCATATACATACATGAAATTCTTAAACTAAAAGCATAGGAGTCAGTTGAAAAAAATATATTGCATCTCAGCGTATATTCATTTCAAAAATTAAGAGATTTCGACGCTAAATCAAAAACTCGTCCATCTTACTCGCTAACCTCAGAGTAAGTAGTCTAACAACAACTCACGGGTTTAGAGCCCCTGTACGACAAAGTCTTCCAGGTCGCTAACAAAAACTCTGAGGAACATGGTGTCTTCATACACATAGGCGCGTCTGCTTAGATGAGTAAGCGAGCAGAACAGTGGAAACCCACTTGCAATGTTTGCCTCCCTTCTTGGTCTCTGAAAGGAAGGGCTGTTAGGATCAGGTCTGAACTCGTCTATCACGTGTTCTACGTTATCTTGATCCAGTAACATGAACGTGACCTTCTGTCTGAATGGCCAGCGGAGAATCGCATCATACTGACCGCGCATGACCACAAAGAACACAGAGATGTGAGTTCCTCGGCCCATGCCATCTCCGTTTAAATATATGCGGGCGCACATCTTGTATCCACAGGTGCTGGTGAAAAAACAAGGGCTGAGGAATGACCTTTGCTGACCATTGACTGCTTCGTTTCGCAGCCAGGAAAATTTTGTTAATTTCCAAACCAGGTGGCCGTCATAAATAGGAGGCAGTCGTTGCCTCATGACCTGCGCAACATTTCTGAGAGCCAGCGTGTGCTCTATGGAGTCAATCCTTCGTTCTAAGCTCCTGGTGGTATCCTGGATGGTATCAAGCAGTCGCCTGGCATTACCCATGTCTCGATTTGCCTGCTTCATTGTGCGGCTTCTTTCTTCTAAGATCAACTCGTGCTTAGCCGTCGTTTTCTCAAGATTTGCCACCTGTTCGTTCGTTACGCTGCAAGCAGAATCAGCAGATGTGATCGCTTCTGAAAAAATACCTGTACTAACTCTTCTTTCCAAAGAGGCGATTCGGTCGCTGTGTTGGTGTATCTCTTTTTGTAAATGCCTGTCTGCTGCTATATTGGCTCTTACTTGAGAGAGTATGTCGGAAACAATGTCGTCGTAATTTCTGAAGATACACAGCCAAGACATCATGCTGGGCTCATTTGTCAAAAGTGAATTCATTTGTTCACCCAAATGGAGTGCAAAGTGAAGAATCAACATTGTATGGTAAGACTTTGCCTTCTTTAGATGTTCTATCCTCTCATTATGCCTGAGGACCTGTTACAAGAATGGAAAATAACTATATCTGGTTCCAGTTCTAGGCTGTATGAATGAATCCAATTTGGCAACGGGAAACAATTGTTTAAATTGTGGTTAACAATGTCTTTTTATCATAAAAACTGGCTTTCAGCTGCTTTAAAACAACTTTAAACCGAGAGCCTATTTTAATAGTGCATGCAACTTGCAGCTGCTTTAAAACAACTTTAAACCGAGAGCCTATTAATAGTGCATGCAAATTCTCGGCCCCAAAGAGAAGCCACCGATCTGAGTTTCTTAAGAAACACAAATAGGAGATAGGCCGTGTCCAGCTCGGTCCTCACAGTGCACACATTCTTTCCCATTTAAGTTTGGTAGAGACAAACTGTATACCTGTTACTGGCGTCACTCCACCGGTATTTCCTGCCCTCTTTACGTGATATGATACAGGAAAACTGGCGTATTGAAGGTCAGGGAGCTAGACGGAAACTGACGAGTTTATGCCGTTCGCAGACAAAGAAAGCACAAGATATGAAACAAGAGAGTATAGGGTTGTAAACACAAGAAAACACTATAAAGAACATTTATGAACGTCTGCTATAATGAAATACCTCAGCTTTTGAGCATCCAATCTTAGCGAATGGGCATAGTCCCTGTACTCCATCCGCAACTTGATCCTGATGCTCTGTTAACTAAACAGTCAATTGTAATAGATTAGTAAGACTTAATTGCCAACGAGTAGCCTTGCAAAGACGAGAGGCTGCGAGACGGCAGCATAATAAAGCCGTGCGCGAAAGTTCTAAGGCTGAATGAATATCGAAGCGATGTAACATAAGGTAATGCAAGGATGGAGGGAGAAAGAGGTAGATGGAGTGATGAAGGGTTGGTGGGCGGAGGGAGGCTTCGCCGCCAAATCTCCCTCGACTACTACACAATACCGCCAGCTACGCAGGCTAATAAATACATAGGCTTCGAGGTTCCGATGAATATTAATTAATAGCTGGATGACAATACGTGGATTATATTTGGGCAGTCCGATAGCCAATGGTAGGTTTATTATGTAACACAGTAACTAACCTGGAGCAGATAGAACTCTTCACCATCGCATGCACATGAGTTAGGCGCCTCTCGGCTGGAAGATGAATAGTCACAGCAATTTTAAAATTATCAGAAGGAGCTGAGTAGAACTAACTGAGTTTAATGCCAGACCACTGGCGCGGAAAGGGTTCGTTCGAGGATCAAAACACCCCATCCCCCATAAATACATTGAAAACGGGGCGTTGACAGTTATAAAATCTATGGTTGAAGAGATTTGCCACAAATTTCTCAGTATTGTTATTCCGGAATACGATCAACGGAATACACTCCAAGCCGTAAGGAAAATGAGGAACTGCGTACTCGTGGTCGAACAAATATGGAAACTTTTGACGGTGTGTACAAATTAAATAACACGAGAAAGTCACGTGCATGTTGTACGTGCGAAACTGCATGCAGAATATTAACGAACTGGTATGACTGGTTCCACAGTTAACTCTGAGGTAGGGTTAGATCGATACATTATGCAGGCATAATTTTGAGCATAATATTACAGTCGGGGTATCGAGTATAATGCTGTGCTGAGAAATTGTTTACTTTCAAGTGCTTTTAGTATGATTAACAGACTCAACATACCGTAATCAAAAGCTTGGTTGACAGCTTTCAGGGGCACCCAACGACCGAATGTTTCCAAATACGCCAGAAGTGTCTCAGATGGTTTTCTCTGTGCTTTAGAAGCCTGTTTGGTTAATTTGGAGTTGCGCTAAGAACTATTTTTCTGTTCGGGTGTCTTAGGAGAACTTTGTTCGTCACGAAAGTTTTAGCTGGCTTTTTCGTCTCATCCGAAAGTGTTAGCTACCCTCGAGGACATGAAGTAGCCTTGCTTTCATAGAAAATTATTGGGGACATTTTGTCTTTATACCGAAAGTTTTAGGAGACATTTTTTTAACAATAATTGCGATACCGTGATATTAAAATGTGAAAACACAACCTTCGAAAATCGTATTTAAGCTGTTAAAAAAACTCCGAATATTTTACACGAATGGAAAGGTTACCCAGAAATTTTTAGCTTTTCTCAAGCTTAAGAAATTTCTAGTTATTTTACAGAATATACTGTAGTCGCTGGGTGCCCCTGAGCTTTCAATGCGGTCTTGTTGCACCGTTGCATTTTGCTAGCCTGTTAAGGCTTGCCAGTGGTATAATCCATCATGGCTGCTTGTTCGGGATCGGACTGATGTTGTGTTTCTGACTTGATGGAGGAATTTTTGTCTGCGGGGATGGAATGGGGCATCAAATATACCAGGATCAGTCAAGCATAATGCTACTGACTAGGTGACTGACTTAATTCCCAAGCATAATTTTAAGCTTAATGCTGTTGTTTTTAGGGTGACGCTAAAGCATAATTCTCAAATTTTAGAGCATAATTCATCAGTCTAACACTGACTGAGGTAACCCCAAGCTCTTTAGGACACATTACATAACAGCATATAAATTGTTAAGAGTTTCTACGTTTGGAAATGTAACGATCGTACATGATAGATCGAATTATGGCGGAAAGGAAATTTCAAATAAAAATGCGACTTAGTTCTCCTCTTCTTTGTATTACCTATGTTTCCGTGGCGTTTAGAGCCGTTTCAGAGCGATTCCAGCGAGTTTTATCTCACTGGTTTTACTCTGCACGGCGGTTGACGCAGTCCCAAAGAGCTTGAGCTAGCTTTACTGGTATTTTTGTGAACGATGTATTTATGACGTTTTTGTTAGGAGTATAATAGGCAGGGGTCGAGAAACGTCGCGGATGCCAAGAGGTCACCTTTAGATGAAAGGGACGAAAGCGATTTACAATATAAATTGTTTATTTTTACATGTACAGACTAAAACATTCAAGCATGGCTCGGGAATTGAGTCTTCGTACTTTGATATACAATCACCCTAAACGTCCCAAAGTTTGGCTAGGCCGAGATTAATTTAACTACACCAGCCTTTTTACGGCCTCGGGTCTATCCAGGTGATTGCGATAGCCAAGTGTTGTTCGGATTGTCCCGTTTTGCATCCAAGGAGTTTCCGTATAAATATCGCCTGAAACATGATGATCATTGACGATCGACACAATATTCGGACGATTATCAAACCAGGCTTAATTGAAATCGATAGCCGCTGCTGTGCACCAGACTTCTTTGAAGTAAACTGCACACACATGAAAATAGTTGACTTATTACCGCCAGCGTAAAACATGATTATACTATCATAAATCAAAGAAAACCTGTCAAAGCAGGAAATTCTACAGTGTCATGATAAATTCCCATGGTGCATTATGGGAAAGGGAAAATTCCCTGCTGGCTCCACGCGGTTATCAAGTGTCCATGAAAGCAAGCAAAGTCGGTTCGATTTACCCACTTGTATAATAAAAAGGTACATTGGACATAATCTGCTTTTACTCGCTTTGGAGCATTATCTAGGATGCTGATCTATGCTCATAGTTTGTTTTACTAGTGTACGCAAATTTGAGTGGAATCAAATATTATCCGTAAATACAATGCCCACGTATTTGACCGCGTGTTATTGACCTATTCGACACAGTTGAAGTGACCTATACATAAGATACATAAGATGGCTATGATGAATATTCAGGCGCAACTCCATACCGGTTTCTACCGTATCACTGAAGACAGTCAGATATTTCACAATGAAAGATAAGTTTACACTTAAATCAGTTTTTAAGTGAATGTGCGACCTAGTCTCCCTTCGTCTCTTTGGCTCACAAATGATCAAAAATTGATCACGTCTGTATTTGTTTCTGGATCTGTGCCTGATAGTAAATAGTAAAAGGAATAACAGCACGGGGCAACGGAGCATATTTAATAACAACTTCTTAATGTTAAGTTATTCAATAGAAAGCCTAGAACTTCAACATGTACATTTTAAACAAAACGCTTCTCGCTTCCAGTTAAACAGGTCGCGCTAAACCTTTGTACTTGACATCTCTGATACGTTTGACCCTTCGGCACTTTTACCCCCGAGATCACATCAAACCGACATCCGCAAATTTCCACTGAACGAAATTTAACTCAGAAAGATGAAGTCAGCTTATCTTAAGTAATTAAACGAAATTGGACACATAATTAATAAAGTTCGCTTTTCGAACGAAAACAGACTTTCGTCACGGTTCAGGCCTGTTCGATTTTGTTTGAAGATTATTAGCTTTGAGCTAAACGCAACGAGCACAACTGTCGGCGCCATTCAAGTTCGGCGCTTTATGTAGGAGAATACAAATCCGCGTCTTGTGAGCAGAGATAGCTTCTTTATCGTAACAGTGCTTGATCCTGCAAAAAGCTATTTTTTTTTTGTTGCAGATAATGCTGCTGTTAGAAGCGCAATGCCATAATAGCATGCTATTGAATTTTTGCTGTTTTTCGAACAACACCAATTACACGCATATTTACTTTTACTAATACATAATTATGTACAAAAATCTCTTCTTTTAATAATTTCATATTTTACGGGACAAAAACAAGTTTAAGGAAGCCTCAAAAATCGCTGGTATATTACTAATACAAGTGATTCTTACCTCCAAACTTGTGAGACCGCCATCCCCGACAAGCACCCTAGCGAATGTTAATTTCCGTAAAAGGAATTTGCCAAGCTACATGTTCCAGTTCCCAAATCTTTCTGGCTTCTTTTAGCCCGTGGGGGCCTGTAGAAGATGAATATTTTATTAGAGCTTTTTTTTTCTTCCAAGTTTATAAAACTCGCTTCTAGGAGATTTAATCACAGTCTCCGACACAAGTAAAGAATGGTTAGCCAGTGCCCGTTAAATGCTCAAGCAAACAACAGTAACTGAGTAGTTTCAATCGGAGTTTTCCTTTTCTTCGCCCCATGCAATTAATGGAAGGTAATCCAAGGCAGTCTTGGATTCTGGATTTCACGCAGTAAATTCCGGTCCGGATTCCTTGTAATTGGGACCTGGATTCCGAATTCCAATCGTTCGGCGGGATTCCACATTTTTTGAGCTGTCCAGATTCATTACATGGGGCGATATTCTTTTTCTTCTCCTCTTTCTCTGGAAAACTGTTGTTTCATAAAATTAATGTAGATTACCTTATGGTTGGAATCGCAAACGAACGGGTGAGCGCAGAGTACGAGTCTGTTTGCGACTCTTCAAAACATTACATGTAATGATGACTATAAAGTTGTACAAGCGAGTAAATTGTTTAAAAAATGAGTAGCGAGATGTTACCAATGTTTTTTGTTTATTTGTTTTCTTTCGTTATACTTTTTACAACAGTCAAATATTAGTAACAAGAAAAAAAATGCAGACAAAATAAGCATAACAAAATTGATCGAAAAATGATTAACTTACAGTTTCACTTTTATCATGGATCAGGCTTCTCAGGAGTCGCCGTTTTTAACAATTCTTTATCTTGCAGTATTTTTATTTCCTCGTCTGTAAAAGCAATTTAAGTGATAGGTTTATTTCCTTGTCTTTTCCGTTTAAGATCCTAGTTGTGATAGTAAAGCTTGACTTGCCTGTTAATCGGCGTTTTCCATAATGCTACGTGATTAATTCTTCTGCTTTGGATACCATTTAAGACTGGCCATCAAAGAAAGTCATAGTCTTCGTTGTTGTCCTCCATCGGCTTTCGAATCGTATACTCGCTGATGTATGCATTCACCTCCTTCGGTGGAATTTTTCTTTGTGAAGACTTGAATCGTTCCACAGCGTCAGAAATTTTTTAAGCAAACATTCTTTTTAGATTTCTTTTTCCTTTTCTTGACTCTTGATAAATTTTTTGACTGAATGATAGTCTAAAAACCTTGAATTCTTACTTCTGCTGAAGAATCCAAACGTTCACTTTCATTTACCTCGGCAAGTCGCGGCATACAAAACGTGGGAAAACCAATACGATTTTTTTCTTTACTAGTGGAAATTCGTAAGCGGCCTAATTGGTCATACGATATTTTTCACCACTGGGAAAATTCTTATTAAAAATCAGATTAATTCTAGCTTGGATAGACTCTTTACGACTATTTTATTTGACAACTTTTTTAGAGTACATCTCTTTACTAATATACAGCTATTTGGAGAAAGCTTGTCGGAAAAAGTGCACGCGACAATCCCGAAAGGTATTGTGGGTGGTTTTGAAAAGAAGTCTGAAAGAATGACACGAGAGGCCATGGACGTGTGTTTGCGAGTGCTAAAGGAAAGCAACAAAAGCAGGTTCGACAGCTACAGTGTCAGGAACAGTGTATTGATCATATCCCATATTACATTTCGAGATTGTCGCGTGCACATTTTTTCCGACAACTTTTATCGAAATAGCTGTATATCAAATACGAATACTCCAGCAAGTTTGTGTAAATGGCAAACTTTTATTTCCAGGACGTGCAGCTATGCCCATCTGCTTTAATTCTGTCAGTTCTGAACGATTACGTCTCAGCAAATCATAGGTACTTGCTTACAGCAAGAAACATGTTCTCTTTGTTGCAGTTCAAGGGGCAGGGGAGCGTCAGAGGGTCCGAACTCCCACAGTCCCACAATATATCCGTCAGATCTGATCATTTTTATAGTGATTTGCTAACTCCCACGATATTGTAAAAAAATCAATATCCAAAAAATCCCCTGAAGCGTCATTAGCGTTGAATCTCCCATGCGACGTTTATTTTGTTCCATGTAAGCGTTAAATACAGGCCCTCTATTTCTTATTTTTGTTTCTCTGAATTGTCACGACTTTTGCAACAAACCGATCCTGGGGCCCGTTTCTCGAAGCTCCCGGTAATTACCGGGCCCGTTAAGCTGTTTTGTTTTCCATTTTAGAAGGGAGTTTTAGAAGTTTTGAAAATTATACAGTAGAGTTATTAGCTAACGAAACAAAATGGACTTCATTAGAGGACAGAACACACCCTACTTTTCTTGAGACTTTGATTCAAAAATATGATTCCGGGCCCGTTAAGTTACCGGGACTTTCGAGAAACGGGCCCCTGGAAAATATAAAGAAAATAGTTGACATGAACAATCAGAAATGTACTTTATTGGACTTACTCTATCCAAAACCATCTTCTTCGGACCTCATAATACTCTAACCAAAACCATCTTCCTCGTACCTCATAATGCATTATTAGACTTGCAGACAGCTGTCCTTCTTTCATAACATTTTTTTTGGCGGATCAGTAACAAATTTTATAAAGACTACTGTTAGGCTACTTTTAGGCTACTTTACCGTAGAGGAGCTTTATCCGGATTTATTGCTTTTAGGGTATTCGAATTCGAAGGTGTTTACAGACCTCGGTAAGTCCGAGAACGCCGTTTATTCGGATATCTGAAAGTATTCACTTTACACCTCGGATACTAAATCTTTGGAAAAGTGATCAAACAGGGGGAGGTTCACTTCGAATTCACGCATCTACGGCGTGTAATCAGCAGCAAAACGAATCCGGTACCAAAACGGCCCGGATTCGTCACGAATCCGCAAAACTCTCCTCTACTGTAAACCTAGAATGAGTATGATAACACTGCGGGTCGCATCAGCGACTCTTAAGGTTAATCTCTGCTGAGGGTTCCCCGTCGGGCTGACACCTTCCTCGCGGCTTTCAGTGCCTGCCGTCATACAAGCCTTGTGCTAGGGGTTCCCCGTTAAGCAGGTGATTGGTCATTTTTTTTTTTTCGTAGATCATGTAGCAATGGGCATATTCGACTGAACGGGTTGCTAACCCATTACAGTCTAGACCAGATGTCCAAAGACAGTGGGTCTGATCTCCCAGGGTTTGTCATCAGAGTCTCCTTCTCCTAGATCAGAGGCTTTTCAAAGCTATAGAACCTGATCTGTTCTGGTTTGAATTCGGAGTTGCCGTCTCCTAGGTGAATGCCAACCAAGGCTTATGGACTCCACCAGTCCAACTAGATTACCATTGGCTCACAATGAGCTCATCCACCCTTTTACAGGGTTTGTTTTCAATCCTCAAGGGTGTCCACTCACCCACTTCACCAGCACTGCATCGTATCGCAGATTATTGTGAAATGAAATAAGATACGATTACCCTTATTGTATTTTGAGTTCCTGTGTCGCTTTCAAGCGATCTGGACTGGTTTTTGCATCCTATCTCAATCTTCATTATAAGGGACTAGATCGGGAGTCTACGCTCTTTGGTGGCTCCTCTTTCATCACCGGGCAGTCAGTTAAGGCAAGATCGCAAAACCAGACCAGATTGCTTCAAAACGACACCGGAATATCAAATACAGCATAGGTAAGCGTATTTTATTTCATTTCTTCACAACAAGCTCCGATACAGCGAATTTTTTCCGAAACAAAAATGTTTGCACATGAACCTTAAAAATCGGTTCGTTACGCAATATTGCAAGGTTTGTTAATTTTCAACAAGAGCTCGCATAGTGGCCCTAGCCTCGCACCAGGCTGCTAAATTGCCAAAACAAAACAAAAAAAACTTGCAGTAATAGCCGTAATCAACATTTATTGAATGAGGCTGAGTATGATATGGTGAAGAATTATATACACCGAGGAGAATGCTAATAACATCCTTCGAGATCAGCATAATTCTTCACATCATACGAAAGACGAATTCAACAACTGTTTTATTATTCATTCAAAATGTTTCTAATTTCTTAGCAAACTTACCTCTCGGTTGACTCAGTTTCTTCAAAACTTTGGGTTATTTCTCTGCATAGTTTTAGGATATAAGCAGATCTTTTTTTCTTGCAGATTCTACTAAAAAACTAGATAAAATAAATCGAGCACTTATATTTTGCGTATTTTGCATTTCTTCCGTTCATTTTTAGTTACGAAATTCAGCCATTTAGTCTTCGGATAGTCATCAATGTCATTTTTTTGTTGTTGTTCACTATTGCCCAAGGGGCCTTATTTCCAGGCAAATATACCATCGAACAGCTTCGTTTCCAAACAAATACACCATCGGATCGATGGTATATTGCTCGCATCTTTCCAATTTGATCAACGCCGACAGGTTATATAGAAATAGCCGGGGGAATTTGAGCCAAACAGAAACGATCTGCATAATCTCAGCCTGATTCAATAATTGTTAATTAGTACACTTTGTTATTCCATATTTAACTCTATATACACGTAACTGAAGAAACGTCTCCAAAAAAAACATACGAGACAAACACAATGTAGAAACAAAGGAAAGATAACTTAACGGGAATTCATTGGTGTTAAATGGTTAATCCTCCCTGGAAGATACTATCGTATAATGTAATGCAGAATATCTGTGGGTGAGATTTAACGATTCTCGTCTTTCATGGTTTAAAGTTTTTATCTAAAGATTTCTCAATTAGGTGTATACTGTGGCTCTATCACGGACAAAATGACGGAGAGGGAAAACCCTTAGATAGACCACATCTCATAGTGACGGTCTATCTAGCGGTTGAACGCCGCGGGTTTGAATCCCTGCTAGACCACCAACCATGCAGGGTCTTTAAAAAAAAAATGCGTCATTGGGCGTTGACGGCCATGAACCGTTCGCCCTGTGTCTCCGTCTTCATATCTTCATGAAGACCTTTTCAAGGTTTCCGACATAGGTGTAGGGGACTTTAATCTAATAATTGATTTAAATTTTTTTTGAAATGCAGAAAGTTCTACTTCTCTTCCAAGAGAAAAGGACACAAAATGTGACAGACATTACGTTTGCAAAGCCATCTCAAACCAAAAAAATGTACCAGCTGAAAATCAAATACATTCACTACGCCTACGTCAAAACTTTGAAAAGGTCACTTTGCACAAAGGATTCACTGCTGCTATCGAGGGAAATTTCGATACAAATAATCCTACCTAAACTACACTAACCTAGACTAAACTAGACTAAACTAAGCTAAACTATAGTACAGATAAAATACCAGTCAAATAAGAGAAAAGTAATCTTCTCCATGGATGTGGCTGGAGAAATGAAATTATTAATTGATTTGACTTTTCCAAAATCCATATCTTCTGGCTAATCTAGGAGAACAAAGGTGAAATAGGCGAGCAAGGTTATTTCCCAATTTCAACTTCAAAACTTTCCTATTCTTCCTCAAAAGCTTTTGTTAATAATGACTGCATATTAACTAGATTTTATAATGTACTAGCACCCCATTTGACCTTAGTCATGGTTGTTCAATAAGTAGATAGTTCTGTAAGTAATTTTTTTATTATTCATTAAAATAATATCGACCTCAACATTTTTCGTCTTCAAACATTTGCCTGTTCCTCGGCAGTATCAGGAAAAAAAATGGAAAGCATAAGGAAATAGCAAATGCAAAAAATTATCTTTACCGGACTGGTGCTCCTCTCATGAAAAGTGCACCCTTGTCCCCACTATACTACATGCAGGAAAGAGATTTAGAAAACTAAAACATACTATGAATTGATAATTAACTTGCTAAAAAGTCCAAATTGGCTGGCTGGTTCACCTGGGATTTATTTGGACTGTGTGGGAACTCTTTATTCTACACCCCTTTCCGTGTAATGAGGTACTATATTCTCTACGATGCCATATTGCATGTAAAACTAAAACCAGATACAGCATAGAATATTAATGATGAGACCGAATGGTTTTTCTTGAACCTTGTTAAAATGCACCAAAACGGAAAGTTGATGATATAAACGAACGCTATCGTAAAAACGTAAAGCCACACAGTTCCGTTCGATCTCATCATTCATAGTTTACATCTATCAATAAAAAGAATGTACCTTTACAGGCCAGTAGTATCCACAATAACTTTCAGGAACATGACATCATTTCTCACGTAAGCATGTCTATTTAGCTCCTCCAGCGAGCAGAACATGGGGCATCCTTGGAAGGAGTGGCTGTTTGGATCAGGTATGAAGGAGGCGGTAATGTGCGACACAAAATCTTGATCCAGTAACATGAAGGTGACCTTCTGGCTAAATGGCCAGCGGAGTGAGGCATCATATTGACTAGGCAGAACGCCAAAGAAGACTGAAATATGTGTACCTCTTCCAGCGCTATCACCATTCAAGTAGATGCGTGCACACATCTTGTATCCATAGCGACTGGTAAAGAAATAGGGGCTGTAGAAGGAGTCTTTCTGCCCGCTGACTGCTTCGTTTTTCCTGCGTGAAAATTCAGTTATTTTCCATAGCAACTGGCCATCATAGCTCGAAAAGTCCTGTTGCCTAACGTACTCCTCCAAGTCAGCCACGGTAACACTTCTAAGAGTTAATTCATGTTCGATTGACTGCATCCACCTCACCCCATTTCGTGCATTCAGCTCCGCTTTGCGATTCATCTTGTCTACTTGTCTTTTAACCATTCCAACTTCCCCACTTGTCTCCGCTATAGTGCGATTACTTTCAGCTAAAAGTACTTCGTGGTCAACGGTTTTGTTCTCGAGATTGGTGATTCGTCTTGTTATGTCCATATTTGGTAAACTGCCGTCGGCATCAGATGGCCTTGTAGCGGATGCTGCAGCTGCTCCTGATACATTAACCACAGCCATTTTTCTCTCTAATGAGGTTATCCTTTCACTGTGTTCTCGTATTTTTTCTTGCAAATTCCTCGTTGTCTCCGAGTTATTCTGCATCCGGCCAAGAAGATCTTGAACGACACTGTCGTAGTTTGCAAACATCTGAGGACTTCTTGAAATAACCCTGGGATCAGGTCTAACAAAGGCTTCTAAGTCTTTGCTGATACCAAGAGCAAAGTGAAGAACAAGAATATTGTGCCGAACTATTTCTTGTGTCAAATGTTCCCGTTTCTCCCTCTGGTTGAGTATCTGATAAAATTTAAAACGTGGTTTGTGGGAACGTCAAAGAATGTCAACAATATGAAGACTCAAAAACGTGTTTTTTAAAACTCCCGTTCGCTGAAAAACTGATACCCATTAAAATATAATTCCAGTGGCAACGTACTATTTTAATAACCCACCTCCCCCACCCCCCACAACAACAACACCAACAACAGCAGCAGCAGCAACAATAAAACGACATAACAACGGCCAAAACACTTATAACCACTAACCTCTTTCTTGGAACATCCAATCTGTGAGAATGGACAGGGACCCTGTACTCCCTCACAGTCTCCCACGATGGGATTTTGATGATCTGCCAGCTAAAACGTAGGGAAGCGTTTATGAGTAATTACCTTAACGTCATTTCCGTAAAATGTTTAGTGAACGAAATAAAAGAATACATTTTTTCAGCTTCTTACAGCGAAACAAAAATTGCAGCATAAATGTGCCTCACATTTGTTCTAACTCGATTCCTTGACGTCATAAAAATGAAATTTCTGAAATCATGGGATTTGTCAGGATATTCTGAAAGAACAATGTCCAAGAGGCCTACTTACCCAAAATGAGCATTTCGGGGCAAATTGTCCCTGAGATCGTAGCCCAGTTATGCTTAGAAAACTCCATACAAACCCTTCTAAATTTTTTTGGGTCGACCCCCAAAAATTAGGGTTTGTATGGAGTTTTCTGAGTATAACCGGCTAACATCTCAGAGACAATTTGCCCCGAAATGGTCATTTTTGGCAAGTAGGCCTCTTGGACATTGTTCTTTCAGAATATCCTGACAAATCCCATAAATTCAGAAATTTCATTTTTATGACGTCATCACTTTAATACTCTATTAAAGCATATATAAATAACTTTTAACCAAAAAATTGCAAATCGACTTTTAAAACTTTTTAAAATGATTTTAATCGTTAACAGAATTGGGCACAGGAAGTCCACTGAGATGAAACTAGTGTTGTTAAAACTATATAAAGCACAAGTGTGAAAATCGCCTTTGAGAGAATAGATTGTGCTCTTGCAAGGTATCATTGTTATCCAGAAAAGAAGAAAGTAAAAGAAAACAAAGCGAAACGAAAGGAAAAGTATTCTTACCTCAGTCTTGGAACAACCAATCTGGGAGAATGGACACGGTCCTTCTAGCGCTTCGCAGCCTAATGGGATCTGGCGATCTGCTAACTAAAAGAAAACGCGCAAAATGTGTAAACTTTTCTAGCGTTCTGTAGATGAGTACAGTTCAGAGTAAAATATATATATACACATTTCTCGCGTACGCCTAGCCGGTAGGGCCTATGGAGATCATTATTCCCAAGTAAATAAAAGGCAATATTTGGTGAGTTTATGTTCACTCTACTTTTACGGCAAATTAAGTAAATTTGTATGTCTAAAGACAAGACAAAGGTAACTGAATCTATATAGGATAGACCCAATTGCGCACATCATTTCGGTATTTCAGCAGCAATTTGTTTCTTTCATCATCCTCATGTATAAACAGCTAAACCCAATTTTGGGTAGCCTCCCAGGCAGATGTTCTTAGGGGTTCGTCTCGCGTTCCTGCCCCACAAAAGTCTGCTAAATCGATCGGTTAAATTCCTTTCCCATTGTTTGCAAATATCAGCTGGAGATAACGTGCAGATTATCAGAGAGCCAATCAGCGCTGTTGAAGTCAAAGAGTTGACAACTCACTCAAACCAAACACATACGTGCAAGCTCGTTAGAGTGTGAAACATGACCAAAGAGTTTAGCTCCCGACCAGAATAGATAGGAGATAAGAATTGGCGTTTTGTATATAGATCTTTGAAAAGGCTTGATCGGATGTCACTTGCTCAAAAAGTTGTTCTGTGGGTGCGGCAACGGCGGAAGTTGTTACTGGACAAAAGGCAGAATTTTTTTCGCACTTTATTGTTTTGTATTAAAGCCGACTTCCGTTCAGCAAATTAAACCTCCGAGGTAATGTTTTTAATGAGATCGTGAGGGAAGTCTCTGGTACGAAGGCGTGTGAGTTAACTGAGTAGTTTGTAGGTCTTCACCTTTCGAGACCATTCTGATCTTTTGTGGAGCTAAGTCTCGCGCGAAAGTTCCCAAGTTCGAAAGTGCGCTTCCCAGATCTGGAAGTGTGCTATGATTGGTCCATGTTTTTTACCACTCGATTCAACAGCCGTTTGTGGGGCAGGAACGCTCGACGAACCCTTAAGAACGTTGGATCTTCTGTACTTTGTGCACCCCTCGGTCGAGTATCGGTCAGCACTATCGGCCGATATGTCGGTGGACGTGTCGAAGTATCGATCGATTCTCGATCGCCATATCGGTGAACATGTCGATCGACAAGTTGGACGACAATCGGCCGATACGTCGGCCAATACACCGGTCAGTACACCGGTCGACACTCGGCCGATACGGGGAGTGTCAGTTGTCGGTGGAATATCGGTCAACTGTCAGTGGAAAATCGGACGACTATCGGTGGCATATCGGTCGACTGTAGTACAATACATGTATAATATAATTTGTGTTTTAAAATCAGAACAGGGGAGCTGGGTTCCAGTGTTACACGCGAGCTATTGCAGTGCGGGGTTTGAAAATTAATAGTTTCCACTTTGTTGTTCCTGCCAGATCAGCCTCGCCGCGTCAACTTGTTGGATTTCTACCGTGGTTCTACAGATGTTATAACGTTAGATTGTTGTTGAATACCTCTCAAAGGCGATGCCAAAGCGGTCCCTATGTTTTCCAAAAAAATAAACCGCGCACACACTTCAAATTATACTCTCACATTAGACTAGTAAAAGCCGTCAAAGCCCCTTAAAAATTGCTGCATAGACAACGTAACCACAAAAATTTGAGTAAACAAAAAGTATACCGTCGACTACGTATCAGTGAAGTATCGACCGAATGTCGGTAGCCTATCGATCAACATGTCGGCTGACTATCGGTCAACATAGTGACCAAAACTATCGACGGATCTGTCGGTCGACATGTCAGCCAGACACTCGGTCGACTATCGCTCGAACATGTCGACCAAGAGTCGGTCGATATGTCGACTGATACGGCAACCGAGTGTCGGCCGACATATCGGCCAAGACGTTGATCGAGTATCGCCCGTTAGTGTCGACCGATACTCGACAGGGGGGTTCACAAATTACTCAACATCCAGAACGTCTGCTGGGAGGCTAAATTTTGGGATTTCAAAAACTATATATACCAGTCAAAATTTGGGATGAAAATAGGTAAATCACACTGAAGTATTAAAAATAGCGCATGCATGTTCAATGTTCCCATGTATTTGTTTAGTTCAAACAATTGCAATCTCATGTTCACCTTTTTGCGAAAAATAAATCTACCTGACCCCTTGTATATGAAACTTAATATCAGTGCCGGGGGGGTCTCCAAAACACATTTTTTCGGCCCTTCGGGCCTAGAGTTTGGTCTAAAGATAATGGGGGCCCGGTCCCCGGGCCTCTTCCCGGGATCTGCCAGAATATTATCAACAATAAACAACAATCTCGTGTGTAAGTACCGTATGCAACCGCTTTCCATAAAGTCTTTTCAATATATGTGTAGATGCCTATACTAACGTTTCCTAGAGGATCGTTAACACTGTTACTATACTCACGTTGACGGAATGATCATTTTCCAAGTGCCAAGAAAGATCAGCTTTCTTTACCACAACATTACAACCAGTATAGACACATCGGACTTTAACAAAATCACAACTGATGTTATGGTGCATCTATAATTAAGAGTATAGATAGCAATGATAACAATACAATTAATACAATGTGCACATACATGTGTGTGTTAAGCTGGTCATTAGAATATATGAAAAGCTAGCCCCCTGCCCACCACCCCCTCCCCCAACCCGGGAGTAGTGTAGCGGTTAGAAAATAGGAGAAAACATATCGCGCTAACTCGATCTTCACAACAATTAGAACTCTGTGAGGAAAAACGGCTAAATTCCTTCCCTTCTAACAGGAGCGAGGAAAAGTACAATAAAATATATTCATATGCTTAAGGTCCTAAAACTAGAATACACTAATTTTAAGCATCTAAAATCACGATTAAGTTCGAGCGTAGGTTAGTCTCTAAACGTGCAACGACCTAATGTTAACAAATAACTTTGTCACTGCTTCGTCCACGTCTCTAACAGACAACAATTGTTCTAGAGTGTCTCGCACGGTGATAGTATTTGTCTAAACTCGACGCGGTCAAAGTCTGGGCTATATTCCATCAAGCGCTTGTCTTTGCCCATAGGGACAGCTTTCCCTGACAAATCATGGTTGAAGACAGGTTTCCAAATGCAAGTCTTGTGCGACGTCCAGTAGGACCATAGGTGTGAACTACAACAGTGTCTTGGACTTCACCGGCTTCCACAATTTCTCCAACCAGGATCCCTTGATCGGTGACCGTCGATATGCAGCTTGATCTAAGACTAGATAATAAGCTCCTCTAGAGGAATCTCCTTCGAGAGATAAGTATGGGTAATGTGCTGTGAGACCGCGCATCCTTCCAAGTTTGGCGAGAATTTGCTTGGCTGCTGTGTAGACGAAGCACAGATGCTTGCAAGCTTCGCTAACTGGAGCCTTGCCTAGGGGTTCAAGATACTGGAACAGTTTGAGTGAGATCCCCTCGTCTGCTTGATTGTTGCTCTTGGGAAGGCATATGATGAATTGACCAGGTTTGTATTGTTCCTCTCTCTCCCTTGATTGAGCAGGAAGAGATGCTCCTTGTACAAGGACTCTATTAGTTCGCCGGTTTGGCTTCTGGAACTGGTATCAGCTTCTCAACGTTAGTAGGAGGTAATTCGTCATTGGTTTATGACGTGCCTTAGACGGTAAAGTTCACTATTCTTCAGACGCTCGCTGACGACATAAGGTCCGGAGTATCTTCTGATGAGTTTAGTAGCTGATCCCTTTTGTACGTTTAAAGGAGGTGGTTTTCTGACTAGGACTTTTTTTCTTTTTTTTTTTAATATGTCTGTTTATTTCCTATAAAACTACAATTACACAGTGCATACTTACTATTACACTAATAATACTAAAATAAACTTACTTACACACTTACGCAGTAACCAAAGCATAGCAATTACACAGTGCCTACTTACTAAAATAGACTTACTTACACACTTACACAGTAACCATAGCCTAACAATTACACAGTGCCTACTTACTAGTACACAGTATCTTAAAAGTAACAATATAATGCAACGACTAGGACTTGTTGTCCGACAGAAAATTCTCTAACGTTAACAGACAAGTCGTGATAATCTCGTTGCCTTCTCCTTAGGTCCTTTTTGATGCTGGAGAACAGTTTGTGTGCCTCTGAAATCCTTTGAACTAAATGTTTTGCATATTCGTTCTCGCTGATTGGCTCGCCTGGGAGCTGAAGAGCAACTGTCTCTGGTAATGTTGCATTACGGCCAAACACGAGGAAGAATGGTGTGATACCATCACTGCCATCGATAGCCGAGATGTCGTGCGAGTACACTGCTGGCTGTAAGTAGTCTTCTCATTGTTATTGCCATTTGGACGCGAAAATAGCAAGAGCCAAATTCATGAAGCGGCGAACACATTCTGTAGCGCCATTAGCTTGAGGGTGATGACTGGACGTAAACACTTGTTTAATGGACAAGAGTCTGGAGACTTCACGTAGTACAGCGTTTAAGAACTCTCCTCCTAGGTCACTAAGAGGAGTGGACGGAAAATCTAGTTTAAGGATTACATTATCAAACAATGTCCTTGCAGCTGTAGTAGCACTCCGATCTGCCGTTGGTATTGCTACCAGGACGTGAAAGAATGGGCAGACGGCGGTAAGTATATAGCGGTTCCTTATGGCAGATTTCGGGAATGGTCCAGCAAAGCCAATTCCAAGTACTTTCATAGACCTATTCGGCTAACTCAATGTTGTACCCAATTCAAATCTCCCGGGATAAGATTCTTTGTGTATTGTATTTGCATTACAATGTGGCATTCACATTTAAATGATATGGAAATTCCTGAAACAAAATGTTTTATTCCCAAAGGGTTTGAATTGGGTACAACATTGAGTTAGCCGAATAGGTCTATTGGTTTGTCATGGAACCGAGGATGCATGAGACCATGTTGCTGATCGCGGATTTATGCTTGAGGCATTCTCGACATCTTGCAACCCAGCGTTTCATTGCCTTCCCATCCCTGTCCAATAGAAATATCTAGCGAGGGCATGGTAGGTATTATCTCGTACTCTATGCATCCCGAGTGGCGAGTAATGATATGCGCGCAGTAACCGGGACTGCAAGTCTTTGTTGTTGGGAACGAAGATGCGAAGGTGGCTAGGGTCGTTAAGAAAGTCGTCTGAATACATAACACGTCCTTCCAAACTAAGCCATCGTCGTACCAGGTTTTGAATACGAGTTTGTGAGATGACAAGTCATGAAAGGCAGACTTCTTACTTCCGGCTGATAGATACTGGTCGATGAGCTTTAAGGTTGGGTCTTGGAGTTGAAGAGTGACCAAGTCTTGTCTGTTGGATCCTAGGAGAGTAAGGGGTTCTTCTGTGAGAGGAAATACATCGACGGAAGGCTGACAGAAGTGCGAGTCATAGGCATCGAGTAATGAAGAAAGGATGTCAGCTGTGTGGTGTAGTGCATCCTGCAAATCAGCTTTACTTTGAGCAGTGCAAGATAGACAACCAAAGGTGGAATAATCAACTTGAGTGCTCTTCTTTGTGCAGTGCATAAGAACATTCATAGCTCTGAGTTGCTGAAAATTAGGAGGATCACCCTCGGAGGTGTCTGTGTCAGAAGGGAAGTCCATGACAGTTCGTAATGCGGATGCTCTGAAGATGCCATCGAGGACTCTTACACCCGGTTCGAGCTCATGACCAGTTATAGCCATAAGTCGTTTCCAAGAAACCCGATGGATGTCGCACTTAAGGTGAGATAAACTGTTAGTAGGTTTAGACCGCAGTAAACGGTGGTCTTAATGGGTGCGGCGTGGCTATTTGGGTCTCAAATGAGAAGGCAGGTAACTGCAGCGTGGGGTTCCTGTGAGACGGGTGCTTTATCACATGAAATAGTAAAATTCATAGCAGGGTGACGGATTGTCACCGTTTTTTCTCTGTGGTCAGACAAGGCGTGAGTAGCTGGTAAGTGATTTTCGCCAAACAAAAGTGGCCAAAACATATTGGAGACGACAAGAGCGACATAAACTGTTTCTACGTTTGGAAGCCAGGTAATTGGTACCTCTTGGAAAGCAACAGCATTCAGAGAGGCACTAGTGTCAGCCATTTGTAATGGAATAAGCTGTTCAAGTTTCTTGTACTTCAATTCAGGTCTTGCGGAGTGCACGTGCTGTGCGTGATCCAGGCTACACAGTGTAACAGAACAACAGGAATCAAGCGGTACCTGAAGGACTTTACCGGCTGAAGTGACTTGACATGTCAAAATAGAACGATTCAGGTTAACAGACAGTTCATTTGAAGAATGTGGTAAAGTCGGCATCAGAAATAGCGGAGGGTTGGATGACTGAGACTAAACACCTGAAGATGGTGGCTGAGAAGTGCGTGGTCTCGGTTGGGTTGCCTGTGGTGGTTGAACTTCGCAGGAGTTTGCAACAGGTGGAAGAGTGTTTGCACGATTAAGATCCTTGCGACCCGGCTTGGAACAAGTGTTACAGTTGCGAAGACGGCCATATCTGCATGACTGGTCTGGTAAGACGCAGGGAGGTCATTGATGTTTGTTCCATAAACGGCAAACCTCGTTACTTCTTTGGGGATTCGTAGAATTGTGGTTTTTCTACGTTTTTTCGGAGCAGTTGCCTTTGGTATGGCCTTAGAAATTGCAGTTATAACAGCGGGGTCCTTTGCAGCGACCACGAGGAAAACCAGGAGCTGGATTAGTGGAAAGAGCGTTAGTTTGTTCCGGCGATTGTTTATTGGGTTGACTGTGCGAGGAGCTGAACGAACTCTCGATTCGTTTTGCGGCTTCGACGATCTGAGAAAGATCTTTGTATTCTTCTGCTTTAAGCACCAAATGTTTTGAATGTCTGGTTTTGTTTTGGAGATAAACTGCGACAAGATGAACTGAGGCAGTTTCTGTCCACGGGTTCGCCCAACTTAGCAAGGCGGTGAAGGTTGTTTTTGAAGCGAAATTCCAAGCGATCGATCGATTCTGTAACTCGCTGTTTCATCGTAGAAAACTCAGACGCCAGCCGACGGCGTTGTACTTCTCGTGGTTTGGCAAATGCTGTTTTTTAAGCTTGTTGAAAACCTTCCAGCTTCTGGAGAGGTGTTGTTTCATCTGTGAATTTAGTCTTTTCCATTGACAACACGGAATTTGGCCATTCGCCAATGCATGCTTGTTGCAGCAAGGTGAGCTTAGTTGCGGCTTGCAAATGGGTCGTTTGGACATCGAAGATTAGAGTAATTCGTTAACGTCGTCGTGAGTGTTCTGGTCATAACAAAATTGCGGGAGTTGAAGAGCAGGCATTCGTAAAGACGGGGAAGTTACTTGGGCTGTAGCATGAGCTGCGGGAGGTCTGCCATGTGCGAGCAACGCTTCCGTGAGTTTAGCGATTTTGAGTGTTTGTTGCGTTCTGTGCTTCCGCCTGCTGCTTGAAAATTGCGGTAAGGTCTGCTACGAAACCTTGTAATTCTTCTACGGTGGCCATTTCCGGATTTTAGGTTCTCCACCAGATTTGTAGCGGTTAGAAACTAGGCGAAAACATATCGCACCGACTCGATCACAACAACAGCTAGAACTCTGTTTAATTTCTGACAACACGTGATCCAAGCTTTCCATAAATGGTCATATGACATAATGGTGCAACGAAAAACAGCTACAGTAGTAGCCGAGATTGCGCTTAAGGTAGGGGTGACGGATTATTTACTTCTATCAATATTATAAGCGCGGGTTTGGCTGCTTGTTCTGTAGAGATTTTCAGTTTAGTGAAATACAATAAACCTGCCCAGCAATCCTGAACTTTATGGCAGTCCTATAAACGCCTCTGGGCATCTACTATTTCAGAGAATTATTATCGTACGATTGAGATAAATCAATTTCTATTCTCTGCATTTTAGTGGAAATGGCGTCGAAATGCTTGAAAACCTTGCAGGGAAACCACAAACCCCGCAGGAGATTTGTTCACGTTTAACACAAAACTCAGGCTAGAAAAACTTAATAACAGTGATCACTGTCAAAAGTAGGTTGAGTTTGATCGTCCGGATGAACGTAGTCCTGATTAGGACTGTTGTTGACGGTTACTGACGTTTCGACAACCTGTGCGGTAGTCATCTTCAGAATCAAAGTGAGTCAGTATCACGTCAGTTGATGGTATTATACTCTGGTTATTGACCTGATTGGTCAATTACGTCCGATGTTATTGGTCGTCGCGTTGTTATTGGCTATGAAGACTCGTAATGTAATTGGATCGTTTCGATCCGTCTTTGGTCTCACTCAAACAGTCGTCTATTGTTAGTCAAATTGTCAGTTGTCCAGTCGTTCTCTCGAAGTTGGTTTTGCTTGATTTCGTCAATAAGTCGTTTGTACGGTGCCGGTAACTGTTGGCTACGATTCAGCGGCGTTTGTTCTAAGTTAGTAAACCAGTGATCACTGTAAAAATGCTCCAAGACAACTGAAAAGGTGATGAAAAAGTTTGTAACTATGCAGCGCACCAAGACATTTATCGAAATTTGCCTTAATAAGAATATCATACTTTTCTCTCAAACAGCGGAAGACAGAACAGAACATCAAGACAGTTTTGTTTAAATACAGTAGTGGTGGACATTTGACTAAGTTTCTATCAGTAACCTCCAAATGTCTCAGTTGCCCTTTCCATTTGCATCCATCATCCATGAACGTGCAGTAGACAACTTCATTTCCACAAAATTCTTCAGGACGATGACGACCCTATAAAACCATATTTAAATGACACATCAATATATTGGACTAGATTTTCGCAAAAAGCAACCACTGAAAATCACAGACAATTGACCAGATAAGGCCAAACAAGTATTCCTAGAACGTCTGCTATGGCAACCTTCTCTTGGCCGTTGCTACAAAGAGGCACGCAGCTAATAATTGATGGAAGGGGAAATGATCAACGAGCAAAACTATAGGCTACTAGTAAGGACATTACTGAATCTTATTAAGGAGAGATCGCTTATCTGGATTCGTGAGTGAGGAAGAAAGCAGCTTTATTGTTTGGGCGTGGCTCAAATAGAGTAATAGAAATGGCTTGCTTTGACGCAAAGTTGCAATGGGCACGCAATACGTGCTAACGTAAACAAGGCGAGTAAACAAGCGACGCGAGGCGAATGTCTGCTATGCGAACGTCTTGTACAAGGTAAGAGGCATGTGGGAAAGAAAGCTCTGCTAGCAAGCACGGCACTTTATCGCACTTTTACGATCTCCAAAGTTAAACTGAATCTTCAGTATTTTTAACTCATTGAACTTTGGAAATCTAAAGTCCAGGGATGAAATCTACAAAAATATTAGGAATATTAACGTCGGGTTTTGTTCATAATAAGACTTTGAGCGATTTTGTTCTGAGATTTCGAGAGCGTAAGGAGATGTTGCGCAAAAATTTTGTGACTTGCAGCCTAGTAAGATTAAAAGAAGAGAACAAATACATTTAGGAATTGGTAAATAAACTTAAAAGGAATTGGCTTATGCTTGGTCGGTATTAAAGAAGCTTTTAAATAAACTCACGTGCGTGTTTGCTCGTGAGTGTTAAAGTCACGTTTGTGGCTAAAGTAGAGATAGGATTTATGATTCAAACAATGTGTGTGTTGTCACGTTGGTTGTTTTGTAGGGTGAACCATTGCAGTATGTACTATGTTGGTGTAGGTCACTAGGGTTTTCAAAAACACGCGACCTGACCTCTGAAGCTCAAAAGCCGCCTTCACAATTACGTTTTTCACTGCCGTTTATCATCATTACGATCACAAGCAACGAACCATGAAACACAGAAAAAGTCACAAAACGGATCGAAATCCACCAGTCACAAATCATGAGCTTTTTAACCTGTTGAAGTAATCTTGTGTTTCCTAAGAGGTCCACTAAGACGATTGGCGCCTGACATTTTTTTGACGAGAGGATTAAAATACACCAATCATAGAAAGACAATTTTAATTGCGTGTTTCCTAAGTGGTCATCTGAATGTGGTTAATCCAGTGAGGGACAATTTGGATATCGCCTGATCCGAAATTTTTCAAAGCTGAAGGAAGAAACAATTTGGAGGAACGTGTCAATATATTGTTGAAGTACGTCATCGTGCCTTAAATTTACAAATGCACACGCTGTTCGCGATAGGCGCACACTAAAAAATGACACTGAGCGTTTTCGGATTGGGCTGGTCCACGAACTCAAAGAAAAACAAACGCAATGGTCAAGACATTCAATGACATCAAATACTCATAGACGCAATGACAAATCGGAATATTAGGAGTGTACGTGTAAAATGGATAAGGGTTTGAAGAGGGGAATGTGTATCAAGTTTGAGAGTCTAAAGATTTGTATAGCTGGTAAACAGTGTGACAACAGGGATTTGGATGTTCACAATGCTGAAGACAAAAAGGGAGTCACGCTTCTTTTGTAACTACTGTGACAGCTGTAAAAATTCTTCTTATGCTTTCAACTGTGTTTAGTAGAGTGACTGGTAATGAACTTGTTTTTGTATTGCGCGTTGTGTTTTTTGTAACGCGGTACGTGCAGGATGCTCGTCGTCGGGATTTTGTGTTATCGGCAAGTTTTGTTTCAGAATTAGAGTGTTTTGATGGCAGTGAGGTGACAGGAAAAGTTAATGACTCAATTTTACAGAAACAATATTGTGTTGTAGAGGAAATCATGAATAGAAGTTGAATTGAGATCTCGTCGTGGGAAATTCATTTATAACAGAACTTACAATTCCGTTGGTTTAAATAAGGTTAGTCATTTCTCGACGCGGTCGTGCAAAAAGCAGACTACCGATGAATAAAATAAAATCTTTGTTACAGAAAACAAGGAAAGTGAGAGTTTTTGTATGGAAGGGTATTCGGAAAAATACACCACTGTCGTTTAAAATTCATTGTTACGTTAAAAATACAAATGGTTCAGATTTAAACAAGTACAGAAGTAACTGTAGCTAGCTACTGACAAAGGCAACCACAGATACAACATGTAAATAATAAATGAGCTAAAAATTTAGGAATCCTTTCAAAACTAAGATATTACATAGATCTGAATATACTGAAACAAATTTATTATGCTTTAATATATCCCTATTTGAGTTACGGTATTCTTTCTTGGGGCTGTGCCAGCAAAACCAGATTAGATTGTCTTCGTATTAAACATAATAAATGTCTCCGCACCATCTTCTTTGTACATCCTAGAGAGAGTGCTCCTCCCTATTTCAAACTCCTAAAAATCCTTAAATTAGATAATATATATAAATTAAAAATATGTTGCTTTATACATAGAATGAGAAATGAGACTGATAGCATTCCAGATATTTTCCTTGATGTCCTGACTCCAGCATCGCGTATACACAATCATAATACAAGATTTGTCAGTAATCTGAACTATTTTAGGCCAAGAGTATCCACCAACTTAGGTAAGACGTCCTTTAAATTCTCCGCTCCAAAAATCTGGGAGACTGTACCGCCTGGTCTCAAGTGTCTGCCATATCATAAGTTTAAGAAAGAATGGAAGTCCTGTCTTCTAACCAACCAAATGTGACCTTGCTCATATGTTTTATCACTGATATTATTTGAGATTTTATTCCTCTCCTTACTTCTGCCAATTATTTCAATATGACGGTGTCCAACAAGAAAGCTCTTGCTACTTTGGACACCGTACACAAATGAACTTAATATCTTTTAGTTAATTATTATTTGTAGCTACTATATTTTCCTACTATGTACACTTATGTAAATATCTTGTATAGTGTGAATAAAGAATTGAATTGAATTGAATTGAATTGATAAATAGTGATCGTTGGTAATCAATCATATTCTAGTCTGTTACTGCCTGCAAGACAATCTATGTTAATGTTAACAAAATTCCTGGGAATAATTATTTGTGTTGCTATCTACAGCATTGAGGGTGGGGGATATACTGTATTTGATTCTCATGCTAGAGATATGTATGGTAACAGTCATAGTGAAGTGACATATGTATTGTTAGAAATACCATCCATGCATAAATTAGAACAACATTTTCAGAGTCTATTTAGGATTGAGGATATATATGAGCTTAAAGATGTACGTATTGCCAACTTTGAAGTTGATTTTTTTTCAAGCAGTGTTGAATATTTTATTATATCAAATGTTAATATTTACCAATGTTCCTGTAAACAGTGTTGCGCTATAGCAGTTTACGCAATGTGTTACTCCGTTATAAATCTTTGTGGACTCTGGACTTCAGGAACTTATCCGCCCTTGTTAGTAACCGGAATACACTATACAATGTGATGTGTGTGAAAAGACATATTATGCCAGTCGATCTTCCTCAAAGTGTCAGTATCAGTGGAGCTGGGATAAACCTTACTGTCCGGGCTCTACGCACTGGTGTCCTATGTTGCAATTTGGCTGAAAGCAAGCCTGAGTTGAAGATGTGCATTTCAATGCATTAGCGACCTTAAGCATCGACGACGAAATACGACGACGACGCCGACCGGAAATTATAAGAAATTTTCCCGCAGGAACATTCTGGGCATGCGTCAGGTTGTCAGAACGTCGTCCAGCCTTTGTCGACGACGAAACTCAGCGAGGTTTGCTTTACTTTTTGCATGTAAAGCACTCTTTTTCCCCCTTGTCATTCAGTACAAGTAGATACATATTCTTTGTGGATTAGCAGAATCCAAATGTTAAGCACTTTGTCGATTTCTTCGCCTGCTAACTTGAATTAATTTTTCAGGTTCAGTTTGTTTGAAAACATGAGTGATGGCGGAACAACCAGTCGGAAAGACAACTAAGCTTTCCTCTGCTATCTTCCGAACCTTTTAGATTAGATGCTGTTCGTTCCCTTACGGTGTATGTTTACTTGTGCATTCTAGGTAGTACTATAGGATAAATGCTCATTTCTTCGTGCTAAATTAAAACTTAATAATTTCCCATGTTGCTTTTAGCTGCTAGTAAAGGCAACTATTTTCCAGTGGACTCAGCTGGAACACGATGTGGCTATGAGGAGCCCTGAGAGAGGATACATATGGAAGAACAATTGCAGTAGCACTGAATTCTCTCCAGCAGCCGAAATTTAGCGTAACTGCAAGTCAAGAGCTGTTCGAGATCGGTATACACTTTTAACTTCAAAACAAAAACAAAAGCTGTGCGACGAAGAGAAGGCCTCCACAATCGATTAATTCAGGTTGTAAAGAACAATAAATTCGCCATCGTCGATTAAACTATCGTCATCAAGCTTATAAGATGCAAATTACGGAGGTCTTCAAGTTGAATGCCATAACAAAGTTCTTCGCAAAGAAAAGTCGTCGTCTGCCTGGGAAGCTGCACTGCTTAAACTTCGTTTTCTCCGCCGAAAACGAAAACCCTTGGTCCAGTCTGCCTCGGTTACGAAGCCTCGACAACGTTTCTGGTGCCGTGCGAACATGTTTTGATCACGTGCTGTCTAAGCTTTCAGGTTTTTCGTGGGAGCGTATTCTATTTTTAAAGTCTGCATGTGTCAACATGGCGATGCAAATTCAAGTTCAAATTGGAGATACTAGAAGAGTGTTTTTTATGAATCCGCCTGGGAGTATTGAGGATTTAAAAAAATTACATTTCGCGTGAGATTCCGAAGACACGTTTTATGGATTTTGGTTTACTTTACGAAAACGATGAATTAGAATATGTAGTGTCGCTTGGCTTGTTTACTTGCCT